TAAATCATTATCATCATCTAATTTGAATATGTTATTGTCTTTTTTACTTTTCTTTTGTCGATTCATATAACTTGAATTATTAGAATCTGATGATAATGTTAATGTATCATCTAATTTTATTTTTTCATTAGAAGATACAGGAATTAACTATAGTAAATCTTGTCTGTAATCTGATAATTCGCGACATTTAGGATAATCTTGTAAATAATTTTTTTTGTATTTTAAAAAATGCTAGCACCAATAAACTTGATTATTTTTGATAACAACCTCGCCTAAATTGTTTTTGTTCAATTTTTGAACAACTGTTTTCAATTTATCTATAGTAAGAATTCCCTTATTGTATTTAACATCACATTTCATATTTCGAAAATCTGTTTCATTGCCTTTATGAAAAATAAGTTTGGTTGTACGCAAATTGATATCATCATGCCACCTGCCTTTAAATTCAATAATAAAATTAAGTCGATGCTCAAACTGACCCCAATCTTTTTGTGCTGTTGTTTCATCCTCATGACTTTGATGCCCAAAATTAAATGATTCCTTAGGAGATTTATTCGATATCATAAAAATATACTTGGCGAGAAATAGCTTAAATCCTTTAGATTTAATTTCTACTTGCTTAGGTGTATCATTAAGATACTTAACTATATTGTTCCAATCGATCATTGTATACCATTCATCTAATAACACAACTTCATGCCTGTTATAACCATTTCACCAATTTGAACCAGACTTTGTTTTTTTTGCTTCAAATAAAGCTCTTGAGAAAAAAGTTTAAGAACAAGATTTGATTTACCAGCACCACCTTCACTATAAAAATAGAATGTCACAGGATGCCAAAATCTTTTTAACTCTTTATTTACAAGTTTTTCACACCGTTGCTCAATATAAGTTAGATCTTGCAAACTTCTAAGCCAAGAACGAGAAAGTAATTCTTTGGGATTTTCCAATATCTGCTTAGAGGAGATATTTTCTTCAATGATTCAATTAATACGATCCATATCTTCAATACAACATTTATTAATCTTATCAGTATCAAGAAATTCACCAGCAGAATCTAAATAATGATAATCACCAAATCTCCAATATCCAACTTGATCTTGTAACAATTCAACTCCATCATCAGTCCAATGTGCTAATGTACAATTCTTAATACATTCAGAATTACAAAAATTGCATATTTTATCACATTCTTGAAAATCACATTGACAAGTTTTTTTGTGAATTTTGCAATGATTCCATCGCTTTTGAGTGTAGATAAGATTTTGTTCAGAGTTACTATTTATAAATTTTGGAAAATTCATTGCTGTATATCCAAATATTGATTTAACCGATTTTATACTTTGCCGAGTTTTAAATTGGAGATATACTTGTTCATGGAATTGACCTGATTCTGTAGACTCGTATTGACCAGAACTAAAAAAAAGATCTTTGGCTTTTAAAGAATCAAATGATGTTTGGGATTTAGGAATTACACATTTATATTCAATATTATGTGCTTGGCAATAACTGCACACAATATCATTACATTCCTGTAATTTACAGCAATTTGTACACGTATTTTCTTTACAGTGCCAATGATATTGACTACAAAGAATACAGAGTAGAACTTCTCCTGTAACAGAAAACTCCTCTTTACGTTGGCGTTTTTCTTTTTCGGTAAAATTGCGTTTGCATCGAAACTTATTCAAACAGAGAATACAATAATAAACAGTCAACATAATGTGAAAAAATCTCTGGTCTCGTCCCATTTTTTATTTATTGTTATTAGAAGAAAAGAAGAAAATTTGTCTATACCTTATATAATCATAAAATATTCCAAAACAGAATATGCGATTTTTACAAATTACTTAACATTAAAAACATGTCAACAATTGAAACTATTAAGGACGCATATAAAAAACTCGCGTTAAAATGGTATTCAGATAAAAACAAAAACAACACGAATTATGCATATAAACAATTTTGCAAGATCAATAAAGCTTATGTTTATTTGTCATATCACATACAAAAAAAATCATACACTAAAAAAAATGCTAAACTAAAAAATCAAATAAATTTAGCATTCTACCCTAACCCTAACTCTAACCCTAAACTAACGAATTAATTATTGTTTTTGTTTCATGTTATACCAGATCTTATCCTTTAAATTGTAACACAGGCAAATTTGCTTGTGAAGATTTTTACTAATTTTTTTAATATTTAAATTTTTTAATAAAATT